GGTACAGTTTTGTCTCAGAAATCCCAGCTTGTGTCTGAAAACACCCCGGCACAGCGAGCAGGAGCCAATTCCCTCRGCAGCAAACAGGGAAAGGATTTTTCTCATTTGTACTGGATATACTCCAAGAATTCTCCGTTCGCTGTAGTTATTATCTTTCCCCACGGTGTGGAATATTCAATTAAACTTTCTCTCCAATTGGCCATAACTTTCAATGGAAATTAAAGCAGTTCTATTTAGGTAACAGTATCTGTCACCAGGCTCAGTGTTCAGAGAGAATAGGAATGGTTCCACCTGTTTGCTGTGAATTAACCTGGGCTGACATTCCCCATGTTCCAATTCCTCAAAAGCAGGGGAGGATGACAAGCGTTTAACACCCAACTGCCTGTGCTGGCACTCAGCTTTGGGGTACTGGAGGGACACAGCAAATATACTCTTCATTTGGAATGAATTCTAATTAATCTGGCTTTGTTTTATTTTTTTTTTAATATGTTTTGTGATTCGCTAGGGGGAAAAAATATATATCGAGCAGAATGTTCTCCTAAATGATCTATCACATTCCACCCAACGCCATATGGACGCACACCTCCTTCTGTGGTTAAAAAGCTGCTTTGATTGTGAAATCGAGTGAAATTTCCTAGATCCTGCCTCTTACTGAAAGAAATACTCTTCTGTCAGAGGGGGCAGACCCAGAGCAGGAGTGCATTTGTTTTATCTGACAAGGAGGGGGAAAAACTGCTTTTTGGAAACTGATCTTGTTTGCAGGTTGTCTTAAGCTGAGGGCGGCTCGTGTTCGTTCTGGGTTAACTCATTTTGGGCTCTCAGAAAGAAATGTAACTCAGAAAATCTGTCCCTGGGAGTGTCTCACCAGTTTGTCTGGGAAGGTTTTTTTTATTTATTGTCCTGGGACAGGAGGAAATGTGAGAGTTGGTGAATAGTGTAAGGGAAAAAATAACTGAGCGCTTTCTGGTGTGTATTCACAGACATGCACTGCTTTCTGTGAGGTTTTTATTTGATGGAATGACTCAAAGAGGGTCTGTTGAGCACAGTTTGATGAGAAGGGTGAGGGGAGAAACCTCTGAGCCCAGCAAAGAACCTGCTCCTGGCCTCGGTGCTTTCTGTGCATTGAGCAGCTCATGGTGTCCATCAGTGATAAGCCAAAAATGTGTTTTCACCCTTGGAGTGCAAGTCACTGAACAGTGATGCAACAGAAATATAGCCACTGCTTTTAATATTTACAAAAAAAAAAAAAAAATCTGTAAAATTCATATATTTCAGAGTTACCCAAATAGCAAAACTTGGCTTCCACCAAAGCAGTCGCTTCAGTAGAGCAAGTGCAGTGCTGACAATAAACATCTGAGAAACACAACTTGGCCAAAAAGGGGCAGCTTCTGCTGGGCACTTGCAGCTCCCTGTCTGCAGCAATCTAGATTGTTGGCAACTTGTTTTATTTATTAGTGACTCTTTAGTGCTCTGTGAAGCAAATCCTCCTCCTCGGTGAGCTCAGGCTCAGCCTTTATCACAGCCTGGTGGGATCTGGGCAGCAGTGATTCCAATCACACACTGAGGCTGTGGCAAAGCAGCTCCACAGGCTGCAGATTAAATAGTTTGGACTCGCTTATCTCGGTTCTACACGGGCAGCAATAAGGGGAGGAAGAAAGGCACTCAAAATAATTTTATCTGCCCGGTGTTGCAAGGCTTTTCCTGTTCCCCTGACAGTTTGAATCTGCTCTCAGAGCTTCTGCCTGCCCTGCCTGGCTCTGTTAACTCCAAAGTTGCACCAGGATTTTTTTCTCTTGGTGCCAGCAGGAAGGGCAGGATTTTTTTTTTCTTTTTTTTTTTTTTTTTTTTTTTTTTTTTTTTTCCATAATGAAGCTGAGAGTTCCAGAGCCAGCAGCAGGTGTAACATTGGGAAATGCTTTCATTTGATCTTTCATGAACTTCTACTTTAGCTTCGGTAAATTGAGTTATTTAGTGGACAAATTCCGTTTTTTCACCTAGTTGTGACTGCTTCTGCCTGTGGTTCTCTATCTCGAGTCTGTGCTTTCTAAATTGTGATTTGCTCAGTAATTAATTCTTTGGTGGGATGGTTCTTCCACCCCTGGCTCCCACTGCAGGGATGCTCTGGACACCTTTGCACCCCCAGATCTGTTTCTGTGTCCCACCTCAAACAGATGATTTTAAATTCAAGSTGTGTTTTCCCGTGATGGGAGGAGGAGCAGAGTTTGACCTTTTTTGTGATGTGATATCAATTGACATTCTCTAATTGAGGTAACAGCAAGTGACAGCAYGGAGAGGGGTGGGAGGGAGGTGACAGAGGCAATCCAGCACATCCCTGAGTCAGCAGCTCCCTAACTGGATTATCTGGGATGGTCTGGCTGGGCCACAATCACAATCTGTATCTCTGGGAATCGAAACAATTTTCAAACAGGACCCAAGCACCAGGCCAAAGTGAAAAAAATGTGTGTTTCCCAAAGGAAAAAAAAAAAAAAACCTGTGTTTTCCAAAGAGAAAAAACTGTGTTTTCCAAAGAGAAAAAACTGTGTTTTCCAAAGAGAAAAAAATGTGTATTTCCCAAAGAGAACAAATTTTGTATTTCCCAAAGAGAAAACTGGATAAATTCAAATATACTTTAAATCTTTTGCTTTCAAGCCCGCTCATACAGTATTCAGGGCTATCATCTTGATGGGCCAGACCATAATAACCTCTCTTTGGGTGAATGAGGCTGCTCAGGGTCCCAGGAACAATGCTGGATGCCATAATCCTGTCCCATATGCTTTATGGCTATTGTTATCTCTCCCCAGCAGCGACAGGGAGCTGCACACAGGTGTAATGTAAGGCCTGAGATGATGTGAAATGTGTTTTGAATAATAGATGAGTCTCAGTCAGGTATCATTAGCATATAATTAAAAATAAAGATGAGTACAAGGACTGGGGCTGTGTGCTCAGTGCATCCTCTTTTGTGGTGGRGCCCGAGGGAGGAGACAGAGGAGGYTCCTTTAAARCCTCTCTGAAATTCTTTGTGTGGAGAGGGYAAAATTGGCTCTCCCTGCAGTGCTCTCCACTGTTCTGTCCCTGGRAAATCCAGCTGAGTTCCCACTGAAGGCTCTTCCCATCCATTCTCACCTTCCTTCCATCTGGAATGTCCATCATCTCCTTTTCATTCCTATTTTTTTCATAATTTTTATACACCCCCTATCTTTATATTTTATTTATTCATTTGACCTCCTATACCCCCGAATTATAGTGGGGCTTGGCAATGATTGGGTTAGAATTATATACATATATATATATATAATTTTTATGTCTATAATTCTATATAATTACATTTACATCTCATATATTATAGATCTATATAGAAATATTTTACATTTATTTTAATAATTTCTCTATAGATAAAATAGTTAATTTATATTAAATAATTAACATATATATTTATAACCCACTTTATTGGGTTATATAAAAAATTATGGCCCATCCAGGTGCACTTTCAGCAGCCTGACTGAAGTGAATTCCATGCTCATGTCCCTGCACAGAGGAAGAACAGAGTCTGCTGTAAAGACAGGGCAGGAAAAGATTGGAAAATGATCTAAAAACATTAAATCAAGGTTCTTTCCGTTCAGCTGAAAGACTTTCTGACTGTGAGCACTTSCACTGTGTGCTAAACTTGGAGGAGCAGCCAGATGCTGACACTGATGGGAGGAAGAGCTCAGTGAAATCAGGAGAGCTGATCTTCCCAGGCAGGAAAAGTTGGTTTCTTTTGTGTTCTGAGCAGCCAGTGTGGAGATGAAACTGTCTGATACCAACAGGATGGAGAGCAGTGAATTTGTGTTTGGTTTTCTGTGGGTGTTTGGAGCAGCATCAGTGAATCCCTGAAATCCTGTGCTTGCTGCAGAGAGGAGGGCAGGGAGAGGCTGTGAGCAGCTCTCACCCTCAGAAATTGAAAAGGTGAAAGCACAGAAAGGTTGGGGAGACAGGAGAGGAGATGGGAGAGGAGTTAACAGCTCAAAAAATCCATGAGCATTTTTAAAATGAAGAGCCCAAGTCAGCCCAAGTGAGGCTCCTGTGAGTGACCCCCAACCCCAGGCTGTGGGATCGCTGTGAAATGSCTCCTGAGCTCACTGAAGGTCATTTCAGGCTCTTTTGCCAAAATATTTTCCCTCTTCTATCTATGTTTAGTGTGAGTTTTGAATCCTCTGAAGGGCACGAGTGTGGGATGTCCTTGTCAGTGCTGGTCACACAAAGTTCTTGGGACTTTCATTCCCAGGGAGGTTTGGGATTGGTGCCAGAGGATTCCTGAGGGATCAGAGCACGGAGAGGGCAGGGGCTGTGAAAGAATTTCCAGAGCCAGGACCCCCCTTTGAGGGGCTCAGTTACACCCCATGAGTGCAGAAAGGTTTCAGGCAGGGATGGCAGAACCAGTTTCACTGGGGCTGGGCAAACTGGGGACCCTCTGCTCATTTTATTCCTGTATTTAACAATGTGGGGTTTGCACTTGCAAGGAAAATAATTCCATTTTTAAAGGCTAAGGATTCTGGTCTGAACAGAGCTTTGCTATGACAACTGTGTTTGAATTTTGGGGAAGGTTTCATTCTGGGCTCTGTTTTGTGCAGGACATTTTCAGGACTCCATGTCAGGTTCAATGGTTTGTAGAAAAAAAAGAAATATCTGCTGTTATAACAGTATATGATATAAATAAATATAAAATATAAATAAATATAAAAATATAAATATAAAAATATAAATGACATAAAATATAAATAAATATAAAAATATAAATATAAAAATATAAATGACATAAAATATAAATAAATATAAAAATATAAATAATATAAAAATATAAATAAATATAAAAATATAAATAATATAAAATCTGCTGTCCTCAGACCTTTCCCAAGGTGAATGACACCCATCCTCTTGCTGCTAAGACACTGTTTTCTGTTTCAAGCCTGGGAACACGGTGGTTCTGTGAGTGACCTGTCCCATTTTCCTGTTTAACACAGATGACAGCACCCTGCACGGGCCGGTGTTCCTGCAGGAGCCCAACAGCCTGATCTTCCCCCTGGACTCCGAGGAGAAGAAAGTGAAGCTGAGCTGTGAAGTGAAGGGGAATCCCAGACCAACCATCGGGTTTGTTCCGTGTTTTTAACTGTTCTGTACAACTGTCACCAAGAGTTTTCTCCTGATTGTGTCACCCTGGAGCATCATAAGGATGATCCCAAAAAATCCCAGCCAAAAACCAGCCAGGCTGCAGMTCCTCCTGAGGGATCTCTGCTCCCTGGGACAGGGACAGGGAGGGTCAGGATGGAAATCAGGGAAAGGGCTAATAAAATATTTAATTTTTTTTTGCTCTTTCAGTTAAACACTGGAATATTTCAATACCGCTCAGGAATTTTACATTTTCCTGCTTTTTTTTTTTTCCTTTTAATAACTACCCAGCTCTAAATCTTTATTTTACTTCATGCTGTGTTTTCAAGTGCTCGGGAGCCTCCCTGGGCATCAGCAGAGTTTAACAGCAGCATTGTATGTTGCAGGTGGAAGTTAAACGGGAGCAGCATCGACGTGGGCATGGATTATCGCTACAGCCTGCTGGAGGGCAGCCTGCTGATCAATAATCCYGATCAAAACCTGGATGCTGGCACCTACCAGTGTGTGGCAACAAACCCCTTYGGAACCATCGTCAGCACGGAGGCCAAGCTGCAGTTTGCCTGTAAGTGAAAAGGTTCTGCTCCCATGGGGTGTTGGGATAACTGGGAGCTGCTTTCCCAGCCTGTCCTGGTGGATTTGGGGTGTTCTCTGATGGATTTGGGGTGTTCTCTGATGGATTTGGGGTGTTCTCTGATGGATTTGGGGTGTTCTCTGAATGGTTCATACAGTCAGAAAGAGAGGAAATGCTAATAAGGAATGCTTATCTTGATTTAGCAGTATTTAATTGTATGTATCAGCATTTCATTTGTATGGTCAAATGTTTTATTTCTCWAGCAGAGGTTACCTAGGGAAGGATCTGTCTGATGGGATCTCACCCTTGATTTTTTTTTTCCTTTCCTTGGAGAATTAAAGCTTCAAAATTATAAAATACAGAGTGATTTCAGTTTATTACAAAGGCTCTTTCTCTAAGAAACAATGAAAAGGCTCTCTATCTAAGAAACAATGAACATCTGAAGCTTCACCCTTCATGTGAGCAATCCTTTATTTTCCATCCTGGAAAATATGTGGTGTGGATTTTGTTTTATCTCATTTTTATTTCTGAGGAAATGACTGCTGGGTCTGCTGAGACCGATGGCTGGGATTTGAGGTTTTTTTTGGGTTTTTTTTTCGTTTTAAGAGTTAAGTTGTGGCTCTTGGGGCATCAATGTTGCTCTTCAAGGGCTGTGTTATTCTTCTGTAGCCTTTCAGGGAAGATTAAACTGCGATTGAGCCATTCAGCCTCCTGTGGGGGCAGACAGGGTCAGCAGTTTAATCCCTGAAATATGTATTTAGGTTACAAACTCATTATGATAAAAGTTATAATATTTTTCCCTCATACTTGTTTTTTGATATATCATTTTCATTTCAGATTTGTCCCTTTTTTCTTTTTCCTTCCTCTCTTTCTTTTCCCCTTCCTCTTCCCCCATTTTTTCTTATTTTGCCATGCTAGTTGTCTCTGAAATTGAACATATTTTCAGYGAGTGAGGAATCTGCTGTGCCACAGCAACAGAATATGGATTAATGATACCCTGAGCCCTGTGCTTATAGCAACACAGGCTTTCAGAAAATAAAAAAAGCTTTAAACTCTTGAGTATGGATCTAATAATGGCTTTTCCACAAAGATCTACRAAAACACAGCTGAACTAGATTAAATGATGTGCTTTTTATTTTCGGGGCCGAGGCTTAGCTTGATGGTTTCATTCACTGTGCTGTGATTTTTGGTGGGAAATAACCCTGGGATTAAAGGGAAACAATGGCTGGGATGTGGCATTTTGGGGATGAGCCCTCCCCTCCAGATTTGGGATTGGTTCTGCTGCTCAGCTCCTGTTCCTTTGGCAGGGCAAGCTCCTCTTAATTTTCAAGCTACTCTTACTTTTTATTGTGCTTGCCAAATTATTCCTCCTGGAATATTTTACAAATGGTCGTAATAGAAGTGCTGGGAGCTGGTCATTCTGTAAGGAGGCTGTGGCATGGTTGGGGCTGATCTCTTCTCCGAGGGAATGAGCAAAAGGACGAGAGGAAATGACCTCAAGTTGTGCCAGGGAGGAGATCAGGAAAAATCTCTGCACTGGAGAGAGGTTTAGCACCAGGAAAAACTGCTCAGGGCAGTGATGGAGMCACCATCCCTGGAACTGCTCCAGCAATCAGCAGAGGTGGTGCTTTGGGATGGGGTTTGATGGCAGAGGCCCCGTTTCCCCAGATTTCTCCAAGTTTCCCCCAGGTTTCCCCAGTTTTTTCCCAGTTTTTCCTAGGTTTCCCCCAGTTTCCCCAGGTTTTTCCCCAGGTTTTTCCCCAGGTTTTTCCCCAGGTTTTTCCCCAGGTTTTTCCCCAAGTTTTTCCCCAAGTTTTTCCCCAAGTTTTTCCCCAAGTTTTTCCCCGGTTTCCCCAAGTTTCCTCAAGCTTTCCCACTGGGATGTGCCATCCCTGTTTTCCTCTGTGCCCTGGACACACCCAGAGCTGTTCAGGCTGTGGGATCAGGGCACAGCCTGGTTGGSGTGTCCCCAATTCTGCAAAGATTCACACATTTGTATTGTGTGGTTCCTGCCAAATGTCAAATCCCTGATTCCTCCCCCAGCGCCTTTTCAAGAAAAAATGCCATTTTTTTCAATCATTTTTATCAATCACAGCCCTGCTGGTTTTATCCAAAATCCCAATCTCCACCTGCCCAATCTCCCCCAAGCCAGGACCAGGCTCGGTGTGATGTTAATGTGGAAAAAAACCACATTTATTGGCATTTTTCCATATATTCCCACATCCCAGTGCTTTTTCTTTCCTGAAATCCTTGAAATCCTGGCTGAGGTATTCACAGGGCAGTGTGAGAGATCCCAACCTCTGCTCCTTCTCCACCCTCTCCAATGAGTGAAAAACTAGGCTAAACCTCTCATAAGCTCCTTTTTTTCCCTTTTTTATTTCTTCCTTTTTTTTTTTTTTTTTTGAATAGGACCAACAGGGAGTTTGCAGCAGAGGAGAGATCTATAACCTACTTTACTTTCATCTGGCATAGAAGGATCCTTAACTCAGAGCAGGAAGGGAGGATTTTTACCTGCTTTGTTTCCCCCCCAGGGCTATAAATAAGCTGAATACATTATTGCTGAAAACAGTGGCGTGGTGCTTGGAAATAATCAGTGCAGGCTTTCCTGGAGCTGGGAATCTCCTAAGCCTGCAGTGTGATTTGAGAGGTGCATTTTGTTTTTTTTTGCTCAGGGAGGTTCTGAGGATCCCAGGTCACTCACAACCCCACAGTTCCTCTTCTGCTTCAGAAATTTCAGGAAAAGCAAGGCACAGGCTTCRTGCTTTTTTCCCCATCTCTTTCCATATTTATTCATTCTGCCTTTAATATGTAAAATAAAATAGATTCAAAATGCAGATATTTGTRTTTTTATATCTAGGGGCTGTGTTTYTGAAAACTAAATGCAGCTGTAAGTGGGGTTTATAAAACAAACACTAAAACATCTTGCAAAAACTGATTTTAGAGTGTGAGCAGCTGGAGAGCCGTAGGGTTATGTTTTTGTGGTGTATTCTAATCATTTTTACTGGTTTGTGTGTCTGGTGGATGGAGAACAGGACCAGGAATSAGGAGATCTGTGTTAATTGCTGTWATTGGGAGGYTTCRYAACAYCTCCCTTTTCTCTGTGAATCAAATYATGTTTACCTGGTTGAAGAAATGATTATTGTCCTTTGGGTGATCCTCAGTGGTTTGGTATCAATGCAGGATTTTCTCTGAATGTGTGGGAACAGCAGTTCCAGSACCCCCAGTCAGGCACAAAGAGAACACTGTGAGAAAGTTCCCGTTCCTGTGGATGGGATGCAAGGCCAGTGTAGAGCAGTTTTATCCCAGGGGCTGCTTTAGCATGGTTTTGTTTTTTTCTTCCTTTTTTCTCCCTGGGAAGCAAAGCCAGGAATCACTGTTGGCATGCAGAGGATGGAGGAGCTTTAAGGTGTTTGTTGTCCCGCAGACATGACCAGAATCTCATTGTTCATCAGGAGAGGAGTAGGAGGGAGGAATGTTCACACCCCAAGAGATCCAATTCCATGGGGAGGCTGAGCCACCAGGAACCCTTTGAAGGGTGGTTTTGGTTTGGGTTTTTATCAAGTAAAGGGAAATTTCCCRTTGAAACTTCCTGCTGAGTGAGATTGRGTYGTGTTATSCAAGGAAATGTKGTTGCCCCTGAATCCCTGSWAGTGTCCAAGGCYAGGAGCACCCTGGGATGGTGGAAAATGTCCCTACCTATGGGTCTGACTGAGCTTTAATGATTTCCACCATTCAGAGGTTCTCTGACATTATTTTGGGTGAATTTGCATTCCTTGCACAGAGCAGGAAGGTGCAGCAGAGCCCTGGGGAACACGGGAGGCACCAACAGCATCAATGCCCAGACAAACCCAGGGGAGAAAAGGGTCCAGTATCCCCTGTGCCCTGCAGCTTCTGCTCTCTGTGCAAACAGAGCTTCTTTTTTTTTTTTTTTTTTTTTTTTTTTTTTTTGGAAGAGATAAAAAAGCTTGTGAGAGCGAAATAACCCCATTGCAGTCAACCCAAGGGGAAACGTCTGCCCAGATTTTCTAGATTAAAGTAATAAAATTTTCAGAGTCCTCAGCATTTTGTCTCAAGCAGAGGAGCTGCTTCAAAATAAATGTTTGAAATATTTCCTRTAGATGGAAGGCAAACAGGCAGCTTTTATGAAGTGGAACATGAAGACAGGGAGGATTTTTTTTTTTTTCTTTTTCTTTTTTTTTTCTAATATAGAGAAGAGTGGTTTGATTTTGGAATAGAAAAATGGGTGCCTTGCAGGAATTTCTTGGAGCTTCTGTTTCCCCATAAGATGGATGGGGTGAAGGCAGGGAAAACAGCACTGGGACTGCCTTTTTGGAAGGAAGGATCAAACCCCAGTGAGGTGGAATTTTAGCGATGTGGGTACAGAAATCAGCCTGTCTACAACAGGTGGTGGGCAGAAAGATTTAAAAACATTAAAAAATTTCAAACAATCTCAATATAAGAACCCAGACAGGAATGTCCCAGTCCAAGTTCATACAGAAATAATAGATGTGAGGAGTGAAAATGCCCTTGGTAATGCCCACTGTAATGAAATCCAGGGGGAAATACCCACAGGGAGGTGGGGTGAGGGAATGGTGAGACCTTTACCTCTAAAACTTCTTTTTCCCTCCTTTCCTCCTCGGCGAAGTAGAAATCCCAGTGAAATTTCTGCTCTAAAGGTCAAATTAGAAAGCTTTCATCCCCAGACTTGTAAACTATTTCTCAAATCAGTGACTCTCAAAATTATTCATTAGAACACCAGCTCTTAAACTGGAATTCTATTAAGCTCTGTATCAAAGGGGTTTTATTCCAGCCCACRCAGCTCTCTGTGCAGCCCTGGCAAGGACACAGCTTGAGAAACTTTATTTCTATTTGTTGGTGAAGGGGTTGACACAAAATCTGTTTTTCAAAGCCAGGGGCAGGTTTATGGGGACAATTTGGAGGGTCTGGGGTCCTTCCCTCTGCTCTGTGCTGAGGCCTCTCTGAAATCACCA